GGTGAAGGAAGAAACAAAAAGAAAAAAAAAAAATTATTGTCTTTTTTGTCTAAATATCTTTTAAATTTATCTTAACGGTTTTTGTGTTTAACCTTCGACACAATCGTGGAATTAGAATTCATTAAACGAATTTTTTTGTGAGTAAATACCTAAAACTCCATTAATTGGTTTTTTTTTTTTTTCGAAAGGGTCAGACAACGAAATTTTTTAAAATTTGTAATAAACGGGCGGAAGGGGAGGGGGTCGATTTAAATAATAATAATAATAATTTTCTTATGTTTCATTTACGTAAAAATATTAAAAATATTTGTTGTAAAAAAAATTTTTTTTTATTTACAAAAGTCGGTTTTCTGCTCTGATTCTTTTCGGTTTTTTTTTTTTTTTTAACGGTCTAAATGATTACAAGAGTCGCTGAAGAATCAAAAAAAAAAAAAAACCAAAAAAAATTTTTTCCGGGTATTTATTCAGTGTTTACGTCGCCAAAGTAAATAAAAAAATTTGTCGTTTGCGTGAGTTAAAATTCTATGCACACGATAATTCGTGGCAAAAGAAAAAAAAAATTACAAAGGAAAAGGTCTCGCTCGTGGCAAATCTTCTTATTGTTTATCTCGAGGTCAGGATCTCGTTTGTATTTTTTTCCGTTAAAAATAATTTTTTTATTTTATTTTTATAAATTTGTGGTACAAAATAATTTTTTTTTTTTGCACTTATGCTGTACGACAAAAAAAAATTTTCGTGACGTATTAAATTCGGTGCCCCCCCGATTAATTTCCGTTTTATAAATAATAATAATAATAATAATAACCGGAAATTCAATTTTTTTTATTTCGGCACATCTTATTCGCTTATAATTTTTTCACGTGTCAAATTTATTTATATTTATTTTCTTATTCTACTTAAATTTTTTCAAAATTTATTAATTTTTTTTATAAATAATAATAATAATAATAAAACTCTTAAACGATGACGACGCCAACGACAAAAAAAACAAATTTCTGGCGTTAATAAAATAAAATAAAAAAATTAAAATTCAAGTTTTTAATAACACTTAAATAAATAATGATAATAATAATTGACATTCATTTTTATCGTCTGCTTCTTGTATAAAATCATTTAAATGATAATTTTTTTCATCATCCCGCTATGTTTACTCTCATCTCTTGTACCGCAAGGAAAAAAATAAATAAATAAATAAATAAAAATAATTTTATTAATAAAAAAGTCGTCGAATATCAACATAAACTCAATATCCTCGTTTTATTTAGTGCAAGGTTTTCTTTTTCGAAAAGAATCAAAAGAAAAAAATGTTGGGGAGTTGAAGGGGGAAAAGGAAATAGGAAAGGATAAGAAAGGTGGGGAAAAGGAAATAGGGAAGGGTAAGAAAGGTGGGGAAAAGAAAATAGGAAAGGGTAAGAAAGGTGGGGAAAAGGAAATAGGAAAGGGTAAGAAAGGTGGGGAAAAAGGAAATAGGAAAGGATAAGAAGGTGGGAAAAAGGGCGCGAAAATGATGCGATCATAAAATAATAATAATAAAATCCACGATTTAAAAAGCGCGAAAAAAAATAAAGTAAAATTTTTTTAACCGGAAGTAGAAAAACAATAATAAACTTTTTAAAAAAAATTATTTCCGGTTAATTTATTTAAGCGAGTTATCAAAAAAAAAAAAAATGAACTGAGCATCAAATTATCTTTCGTGGAAGAAAAATGAATAACGGATCATTAAAAACAAAAAAAAAAAATAAATAAATAAATAAGTTTAAAAAAGGGAATCCCCTTATTAAATTTTAAATTCGTTAAATTTACAATTATTATTATTATTATTATTATTATTATTATTTAGCAAATCCAATTGTAGTAGTCACACGTTAAAATAATATTAATATTAATTTTTTTTATACGTAATTTAATAAAACCAAAAATGGAAAATTTAAATTTTCTTCTTTTTTTTTTTTCTTGGGTGATTTGATTTGACTTTACGAAATCCTAATAAAGAATGAAAATTCACGAACGCCATTTTTTTTTTTTTTTAAAGGTTAAAAATCAAATGATGATAATAATAAAAAATTGAGTGTCCGAATGTATGAAAGAGAGGGTATTATATTTTTAATATTGAGGTATTATAAAAAATTTTTTTCATAATTATTATTATTATTATTATTATTATCGTAAAAAAATTTCGTCGGGGAAAAGGTACGAAAGGGAAATAAGGTCATGGGGTCAACGAATGCCAATTAAAAAAATTATTTAACTATTTTTTTTTTTTTAAATTAAATTCTTTGAAAACTATCGGATTATTTATTTATTTATTTAAATAAATAAATAGTTATTTAAACAAATATTTATTTGATTAAAAAAATTTTTTTGGATCGAGTGGTACCTACCTTCGAGTTCGTCAATTGATGTTAATAGGTACTCATAATACTTATTATTACAAAAAAAAAAAAAAAAAAAAAACGAGTTTTTTTTTAAAAATGCAAACATACTTATTTCGATGACCGTCCAAGGTGTCACGTGACACTTAATTATTAATAATGGATGGATGGAAAAAAAATGGTGACAGGTGAATTATCGATGATAATTAAACGAGAAAGATATATTTATATGTAAAATAGGTAAAAGGGGGGATGGTTAATTCAAAACAAAAAATCGTTTATTACGTATCGCACTTTGAAGTCTTCTGCTAGGATTGAACGTCTTTTAATGACGTCATTAAAAATGGCCTAGGAAAATTCTCTTTTTTTTTTGTTAATGGAAAAATTCGTGTGTGCGTTTGGGTTTTTTTTTTTTTAGCTTTTGCTACAATTTAAAATTGAAACGGCAAAAAAATAACCATAGCAAAAATAATTAAAAACGTGTAATGAAATAATAATAAAAAAAAAAAAAAATTAGAATGGGAAAAAAATTTTTCGCCATTTTAACGGCTTTTTTTTTGGGGGGAGGGGAGGGGAAAGAGAATTTTAATACGGGAAATTTAAAAATATTTTGAGTTTAAAACAAAAAAAAAAAAAAGGAAGATCAATGAGATTCAGGTTCTATTGTATTCAAAAAAAATTTTTTGTTTTAAATGAGAAACGAGTTTTGAATAAAAAGGAAATAATAAAAAAATTATTTAAAAAATGCCTTTCACAAAACGCGAAAAAACGCGAGAAAAAAAAAACGTAAATTTTAACGGATAATCCAAAACTATATTTGGTTATAAAATTATTATTATTATTATTATTATTTTTTCGAAAACCGTTAAAATTATAATTAATTAACAACTTATTAACGTATGTATTTTTTTTTTTTTATATTTATTTAGAAAAGTTTTTTAATTATTATGTTTCTTGTTTTTACTTGGAATTCTTCTAGCCCCCCCTCTCTCCCCCCGAAAAAAAAAAAAAAAGAAAAATGACAAGGTAAAATTTTTTTTCTTTCTTTTCGGGGAGGGGGGAAAGAAAATTAAATAAATTTTGATGTCACGGTCGGAAAAAAAAAAAAAAAAACGTGGCTGGAAGAATTTCAAACGTGACGTGTCAGGGGGGGAAAAAATGTAACGAATCCGAAAGAAAATTTTCTTTTTTTTTTCATCTAATTACACGTCAAATATTTTTTTTATGAAACTTTAACGTTATTTTCTCGCGCATTTTTATAAATTTTTTAATTTTTCACTATGTTTAATTATTAAAAAGAAAATTTTAATTTTTTTAATAATAATTAAATAACAGGGAAACGTGTAATTAGAAAGAAAGAAATTTTTTTTATTTAAAATAATTTAAAGGTAAAAAAAAAAAAAATATTTTTAATTATTTAACGGCCAGAAGGAAAGTTTGTAAAAATTATTTTTTTTTCTGCATTCAAATAAATTTTTTTTTTACCAATTAAGGTGAGATTTGAAAGGTTTTCTTCTGCTTCTTCTTTTTATTTATCTTGAAAAACGAAGAAGAAGCAGAAGAAAAAATTTAAACGTCATCGAAATGACCCAAGTATGTTTACAATAGATTTAATAAATTTATGAACCAGGTTAAATTATACATTAAAATAACATTATCTCGGATACAAAAAAAAAACAACAACAATAATAATAATAATGATAAGTCTTGACCAAAGTGCAAAAAAGTAGTGCGTTGCAATAATGATAATTCAAACCGTAAATTTTACTCCTTTTATTATCACCATCATCATCATCATTATCGTCATCGTCATCGTCAACGCGTTTTTTTTTTTTTTTTATAGGAATTTGCATTATTATTATTATTATTATTATTATTATTATTATTATTTGATTCGGACGTATAAAAAAGGACATAAAAAAAAAAAAATTTTTTTATTTTTTAAAATTATTTTCGATTAATTTTTATTATTATTATTATTATTATTTTCGTCGTTTTTTTTTTCATTCGCACGTTTCTTCCGGCACAGTTTCTTCTGGTGCTAAATCTTCATCGAACTCTGGTTCATCTTCTGCCGTAGCCTCCTATTTAAAAAAAAAAAAAAAATTATATTTTATGTCTTTTACGTGTTTCTATTTAAGATTTCATTTTTTTGTATTTCGATGTTGGCTGCGTTGCTTAGGTGTAGGGAGGACCTGACCTGGTATTGTTGATATTCGGATACTAAATCGTTCATGTTCGATTCGGCTTCGGTGAATTCCATTTCGTCCATTCCTTCTCCGGTGTACCAATGTAAAAACGCTTTCCTCCTAAACATGGCGGTGAACTGTTCGGAAATTCTTCTGAATATTTCTTGTATTGCTGTCGTGTTACCGATAAACGTTGCCGACATTTTAAGACCTCTCGGTGGTATGTCACAAACGGCAACTTTAACATTGTTCGGAATCCATTCGACGAAATAACTATAATTAATATCATTATTATCGTAAATTTTTTTTTTGAAAATGATAATAATAATGATGATGATAATAAATCACCTGGAATTTTTATTTTGAACGTTAAGCATTTGTTCGTCAACTTCTTTCATCGACATCAAACCCCGAAATATGGCGGCAACGGTTAAATATCTTCCGTGTCTCGGATCGCAAGCCGTCATCATATTCTTAGCATCGAACATCTAAAAAATAAATTAATTATTACCAAAACGCCCGAAGGAAAGAAGAAGAAGAAGAAGGAGGAAAAAAAATGGAGGATTTACTTGTTGAGTTAATTCAGGGACTGTTAGTGCTCGATACTGTTGACTTCCTCTAGCTGTCAACGGTGCAAAACCAGGCATGAAAAAATGAAGTCTCGGAAACGGTACCATATTAACAGCTAATTTTCTCAGATCAGCATTTAACTGTCCGGGAAATCTCAAACAAGTTGTTACTCCAGACATGGTAACCTGTCAAGAAAAAAAAAAAAAAAATTTCCTTCATCTTATCTTCATCCGACCATTATTATTATTATTATTATTTAAATGAAACTTACGGAAACGAGATGATTTAAATCTCCATAAGTTGGCGACCCTAGTTTTAACGTTCTAAAACAAATATCGTACAAAGCTTCGTTGTCTATGCAAAAAGTTTCGTCTGTGTTTTCAACCAATTGATGAACGGATAAAGTGGCATTATAGGGTTCGACAACAGTATCTGAAACCTTATATTATCATCATTATTATTAGATTTGTTCCTTCCACGTGGGGGAAAAAAAAAACTGGATAATTTAATTAATTTTTTTTTTTTTTTTTACTTTGGGAGAAGGCACAACGCTAAACGAATTCATTATTCTATCCGGATATTCTTCTCTTATTTTCGATATTAATAATGTACCCATGCCAGATCCGGTACCACCACCCAACGAATGTGCCAATTGAAAACCTTGAAGACAATCGCAATTTTCACTTTCCCTCCTTAATACGTCCATGACGTTATCAACTAATTCGGCACCCTCCGTATAATGTCCCTTTGCCCAATTATTACCTGCCGAAAACTTTTCCGTTATTCTATTATTTCCTATTATTCCTCGTCGTACATGACCCCCTCCCCCTCTTACCTGCACCGCTTTGTCCGAAAACGTAATTGTCGGGACGGAATAACATTCCGAAAGGTCCCGCGCGTACGGAATCCATCGTACCTGGTTCTAAATCGACGAGAACGGCTCTCGGTACGTATTTGTCACCTGAAATAAACACACCCCCGGTCCCCCCGTGAAATAAATAAATTGGTGGGTAGTAGGAAAAAAAAAAAATCGGTACGCGATCGTGATACCTGAAGCTTCGTTATAATAAACATTTATCCTTTCCAATTGTAGTTGATTATCACCGTGATAATTTCCAGCTGGATCGATTCCATGTTCATCTGATATGATTTCCCAAAACTAAAAATAATAAAAAAAAAACATAAAAATAATAAATTGAAAAATTGCGGATGCGGAAAGTCACAGAATCCATTAATAATAATAATAATAATAATAATAATAATAAAATTTATTTTTATGTTTTTTACTTTTCATTGCCCCTCTCTCTCTCTCTCTCGCTCTGACGACCGTCAAAAATGTTTCATGATTAAAATATGTCATTTTAAAAACAAGCACTGAAGAGAGAGAGAGAGAGAGATTTGAGAGTTGCACAGCTTCCGGTTCGTAAAAAAAAAAAATTAACAAATGCCTGCACAAAGCAAATGGATTCTCAATTTGTAAACGTCACATTTTAAATTTTAACCTTTTTTTTTTTTTTTTTATGTAAAGGTTACGTTTGCTATAGAGAACAAAGCGTCGTCGTCCTTTTTATTTTTTTTCTTCTTCTGCCACGTGCACGAGTTTAAAATAAAAAATATTTGATTTAAAAACAACAAACGAATTCATTCTGCACAATGTCTTCTCATTCAGGTTCATTGAGTTTTTCCGTTTTTTTTTGTTTTGGCATTAAAAAAAAAATTAAATGAAGTGTAAAAATGAGAACGTGTTTGTATCCTTTTGGCATTTTGTCAGGTGACAAACAAAAAAAAAAAAAAAATAGGAAATTTATTCACTTAACCACAATCGATATATCGTTTTTTTTTTTCGATTCGATCTTATATCGATCGATTTTTGTTGTTGTTGTTGTTAAAACACGAAATATTTTTGTAAAATTTTCCGTAAATAATTTCCGTTAATAATAATAATAATAATGATGACGATGATGATTGGCATGAATACAAATAAATAAATAAAATTTATTTATTTATTTAAAAAAAATATATATATTTGACGTTATTAAGTAACTTGATATTTATTTACATGTAATTTTAAACTGACAAAACAAAACCACAGACGGTGGGGGATAAAAAAAAAAAAATTTTTTTTAATACAACATGGTCGTCGTCGTCGTCGTCGTGGCATTAAATAAAAATGACAAAAATAGATTGAAACGTGAGAATTTTATTTAAGGAAAGAAAGAAAAGAAAAAGGGGGGTTCTCCCCCCCCCCCCCATCATTTCTTTTCTGGCATTAAACCAAAAAATTATTATTCTTTTAATTTTTCATTTTTAAAAAAAAATTATTTTATTTTATTTTATATATTTATTTTTTCTAAACATTTCTAGAATTTTTTAAAATCTCCCTGCAAATATATTATAAGTAGTTGCATATATTCAAGAGGCAAAGATTTTTTTTACGACGCCATTTTGTTTTATTCTGTTTTTTTTTTTTTTTTTTTTTTTTTAATCACTCATTTGTGCCTAAAGCCACGTTCGTTCGGTTAAAGCGACATATGAAAGTTATTATTCCGTGTCGGTAAAATACGAAAAAAAAATTCTTATTATAAATTTGATCAATCAGTCAATCAATCAATCAATCAATCATTTTATTAACGGATACAAAAAAAAATTTCGTGGATGAAAATTTTTATTCGAAAATGTTTAAACTCGACTAATTAATTTTTTTTTTTTTTTTTAAATTTCAAACAAATTTCGTCGAATTATTTACTACAAAATTTCCCCCCCCTTTCGGTTCTTTTCAGTCCCCCCCCGACTTGTTTTTACTTCTTAACCCCCCCAAAACGTAAAAATAAATTTTTTAAAAATAATTTTACTTTTTTATTTTTTTTTTTTTATCGACGCGAAAATAAAAATAAAAAAAAAACACGAGTCGTAAAATAAATCATTTTAAAAATAAACGGAAACAAAAAAAAAAAAATCGTCGTGTAATTAGAATTGTCGTTGTTGGGTTTTTTTCCAATGGTCAGTTTATCACGTGACGAATAATTTTTTGTTCTCATTAAATATACGATAAATGTATTTATAATAATAATAAGAGACAGGATTTAACCTTGTTTTTCCTCCCCCTCACTCTCTCACTCTCACTCTTTCTCTCTCTCTCTCATCGCTTTTCTTTTCATTTTTTGTTTCTTTCTCTTTCTTTTGCTTTCTTCGACTTCCTCTTCCCATCTTTTCTTTCATTTCTGTATTTCTCTCATTATTATTTTCTTATATAAAAAAAAAACAAATGATTCAACCATCACAAACACATAAATATTTATTTACTCTATGACTTATCATTTCCTCTTCCTTCTCACTCTCCCCTTTCATTATTTAATTGAACATTTCGAGCGATATCCGTTAGGGAGCCCCCTCCCCTTCCTTTATTTGATAAAAAACATTTAATCGTTACTCGTTAACGTAGGAGCTTTTTTTTTTTTTTAAAAGGAAAATTTTATTCAATAACGAACACAACAACGACAATAATAACAATGATAATAATAATGATTAGTGTTTTAAAAAATGAAAATGCATCAAGGTCAAAGGGGTCGCAGGTCAATAACAATAATAATAATAATAATGAATTCGAAAAAAATGCGATTTTTATTAGTTCAAATCGAATCGGTTTCCGTTTTTTTTTTTTTTTTATTCAAACCCCCGTCGATTTTTCAAGTACATAAATTTATTTATTTATTAATTAATAAATCGAAACGTTAATAAAACAAATAATAATGATAATAAATAATGTATTGAGAATTGAAATAATTAAAAAAAAAAAAATTTATTTTTCCTAACGTACGTTACACGTTTGCATATATCCGCCATTTGCAATTTGCTCGTTTGTTTCGTTCGTTATTTGATTCAAAGGCAAAAAATAATTTTGTCTTCTGCTTCGAAACAAAATTTCACGGTGAAAATACAAAAAAAAAAAAAAAAATGAACCCGTTTCGGTGATTGATTCATCTCGAGTCGGTTATTTTTTATTTTTTTTTTTAAATTTACAATGCATAAAAAAAAAATTATTTTCAAATTTCGTGCGTCAACCGACAACGACAACGTCTTGCATTCTTGCGTTCAAATTTTTATTATCATTATCATCATTATTTTTTTCATTATAAAAAGTAATAATAATAATAATAATAATAATAATAATAATAATAATAATAATAATAATAATAATAACAATAATAAAATGAACCTGTTTTAAGTACAGTTATTTTCAAAAAAAAAAAAAATTAATGATGAAATACATTTTCAATTAAATTAATAATTTTGTATTATTCTTGTTATTATCATCATCATCATCATCATCATCATCATCATCATCATTTTATTTTGCACGGCGAATACGTCATTCAAAAAAAAAAAAAAAAAAAAAAATTTTTTATAACGATCAACGTGAAAATTTGTTGAAATTAATTTTCATCTAATGCCACGATCTGAAAATGTTATGCGTGTCATTTCACTTATGAATATGTGTAATTAAGAGAAAGAAAGAGAGAGAGAGAGAGATAGAAAATTTTTTTTTTCTTTTAACGTCTGTTAAATTATTATGAGTATTATCATTATTATTATTATTATTAATATCATGGTCATTAACACTCACATCATCATCATCATCATCATCATCATTATTAAATTAACTGATATATATATAGTCGATAAAAAGACAAAAAAATATGGTTCGTTAAAAATTAATTAAATTAATTAATTGATTGATTAATTAATTATCGATTTACCTTTGATCCGATTTGATTTCCGCATTGTCCTGCTTGTAAATGAACAATTTCTCTCATTTTGAATTTTTTTTTTTTTTTTAACGTTTACGCGATAATAATAATAATAATTGAAAAAAAATTTTTATTACAAAACGCGTTCACCCATAAACGTTTCAACGGCAGACACAACCGAACTGACTGAAAGCAGACGACGACAAAATTTTTTTATTTCTGTGTTTGACGAAAGAAGAAGCTTTAAGTTGTTGTTGTTGTTGTTGTTATATTTAACGTCGGTTTAACATTTTGCCAAGAAAAAAAAAAAAAAAAACGTTTTATTTATTATTGAAATCCCAAAGAATTTACGTTAAATAATAATAATAATAATAATAATAATAATAATAATAATAATAATAATAATAATAATAATAATAATAATAATAATAATAATAATAATAATGATAATAATAATAATAATAATAATGATAATAATAATAATAATAATAATAATAATGATAAATGAATGATTTTAACAAACACTTTTTTTTTTTTTTTTAAATTAATTATTTTTGTTACTATCAATTAAATCTTTTCATGTTCATATATCACAACAAACGTGATACAAACAAAAAGGTAGATAAAGAAAGAGAGAGAGAGAGAGAAGTAAAGATTGGGAGAGAGAGGAGGGGAGGTTATTAAATAATTACATTACTGTTTAACTATTAGGTTTGTAAGGTTTGAAGTGGAGAAAAAGAAGGTACCTGTCATATAATTCATTTTGTTTATACAACAACAAGGAAAAAAAGTTTTAAAAAATGCTGCCATTGTTTGTTTAATACAAAACAAACAAAAAAAAAAAAAAACTTATTTTTCTTCAGTCTAATAATAATACTTATAATAATAATAATGATAATAATAAAATGAAAACAAACAAAACAAATTCAAACATCGCATCTCTTTTATTATTATTATTATTATTATTATTACTTGGAGTTATTAATCAATAAATTATTATTTATTAAAAATGTTTTTTTAGTAAAAAAAATAAATAGGAAATTTTAAATAATACACGTATCGTTTTTCATTTCCGTTTAAATAATGTTTCAAAAATATTCATTTCCGGTTAATCGAGTTTAAACATTTTTTGATAATTACATGAGTAGTATTATTTTATTATTTATTTATTTAATAATGTCAAATAAATTGTTTTATTCATTCATTCATTCGTGATGGATTTAAAATATAAAATAAATGGAGTAATTTTATTTTATTAATTTTTTTTGTATCAATGTAATGTCGTTACACAAAACATGATAATAATAATAATAATTTTTTTTAGATACCTGATAAAGCATTTTACGTACCTGATTTCATAACCGAAGAAGAAGAAGAAAATATATTAAATAACGTATACAGCTCTCCCAAGCCTAAATGGACAAATTTATCAAATAGGAGATTACAAAATTGGGGAGGGATTCCTCATTTAAAAGGAATGATTCCAGAAGACATTCCAGCGGTATCGACATTTCACTTTTTATCATTTTTTTTTTTTTTTTGGTTACTTCTTTTGTGTGTGATAAGAGATAATTATTTCAGTGGTTAGATAAAGTTTTGAGTAAAATAAAAGAAACAAATGCATTTCCTAAAGAAAAACAACCCAATCATGTTTTGGTTAATGAATATTTACCAAATCAAGGAATAATGAGACATTTAGACGGACCAATATTTACTCCAGTGATATCGACAATCTCATGCGGATCACACACAGTTTTAAATTTTCATCCACCTCTCGATAAAAATGAGGTTAATAATTTAAATTTTATTTTATTATTAAAATTTTTAATTGATTCATGAGTATTTATGTATCATTTTTTGTTTTTTAAAGGATTGTTCAAAATCAAAATCGATCGCAATGTCCATTTTGTTGGAAAGAAGAAGTTTGGTAGTTATAGCAGAAGATTTATATCATTTATATCCACATTCGATATGTGAGAAAAGCGAAGATGTCATACATTCAGATAAAATAGCTAATTTGGTTTTGTGTTCGAATAATTATAAAGAAAATGATGTGCTAAAGAGGAATACGAGAGTGTCATTAACGATAAGGCATGTACCAAACACGTCTAAATTTAAATTAAAACTTTTTAAGTAATTAAATAAGACATTTTTATTTTAAAATTTACTTTTATCAAATTGCAACTTGTTTCTCATTTTTTTCAAAAAAAAGGAAAAAAGGTAATTAACAAAATATTACTTTAAAAAAATATATATTCTGACAACTTTTAATACTTGTTTCGATTAAGTTTAAGGTAGAAATCATTACAAATAACAACTTGGGCTTATCATTCAAAAAATTTTATTATTTGTTTAACAAATTATTATTATTATTCCGACTGTGACTGTTTAAAAAGGTAAAAAAAAAAAAAAATGTTTAATTATTACTTTTTGTTTTTACACAAACACACTTAAATGTCTTGTGGTTTCATATAATAAAATAATTGTCATAACAAAAAATTCAGTTTCGATATGATAAGACAAATCGATTGAACAAAAACAAAGTTTGACGATAATTAATTTATCGATATAGCGTTGTCTTCATCCATTGGTTCATCATCATTTGTTTCCATATTTAAATCATTATCATCATCTTCTTCTATTGTTCCCCTTAATTGTTGAATTGTCACAGTCAATGCATGAAATTGTTGTCTTCTTTTCAATATTTTTTTTTCTATCATTGCTTTACAGTCTTTTAAATTTTTCAATTCATTCTTCAATTGTTCTAATTTTTTACCAGTTTCTTTTCTATCTGGTTCTTCATTGATTGCATTACCCAACAAATCACATTCCATTTTATTTTTTCTAACGACTTTGGCTTCAACCAAAGCCGCTTTTGTTTTTTCAATAATTTTCTTCTCTTCCTGTATATCGTTTTTAATTTTTTGCGATAAATTTTGATAATTTTGTAATTCTATAGCGTTCATTTGTGCAACGTTTTGAGATTTACGAAACGTGTGTTCGCAACAAGCTAATTGTGCCAACATTCTATCAAGAGATAATTGATTTTCTTCTGGAGATTCCTCTGACGTACACCATTTTATAATTAATTTTTGAAGAACGTTTAACCTCCTGTCATCACCGGTGCCATCACCATCGATTAAAAGCCTTCGCCTGATCACGTCCTCTGAAAAATTTATTCATGAAGGAATGAAACAGACATGCTTTAGAAAAAAATATAACAAATTCTTTCATTACCATCTGTCATTTTTCAGTAATTTAAACAAAAAAAAAATATTAATAATACATTAACGGCTATATGATCGATACGCATCTATTATTCTATTGACACGTCTAAAAGAGTTTTTATTACTGAATATTTATTTATTGTGATAATTTTAACTTCCGTTGATCGTTCTCGATTCGCAGTGCGCTTACATAGAAATTTTTTTTAAGGTAAATAAATGGTTTTTAATTAATTGAGTGATTGATTTGAAACTATGAGATTCGACCCAAACTTTTGGGTGAGTAAAATTTTCTTGCGCTACTATACTTTCTAGGCTTTAATTATTTTTCTCATGTACTTTTCTATATATATGTATAAAATCTATAAAAATTGATAAAATCCATTCTGATCAGATAATTTAATTTAATTTATTTTTTTAAATTTTTAGGCACCGGAAGTATGTCTTACATACAGCATACATAATATTTAAATAAATAAAATTTGATCGCTTTTATTGAAACGATTTTTTTTTTAAATCGTTGAATAACTTTTTCTTTTAGAAAAAATTAAAATCCGTTGCTATTGTTTCGTGTGGCGGTTTTGGATGTTACTCTGCTCTCAGCATATACAAAGAAAATGAAAAATTTTACGATTATTGTTTGATGCCATTGATTCATAAATTAGATCCAGAAACTTCTCATAAATTTGCATTGACCATATCCAAATTCAAATTAGTTCCTAAAACTTTATTTAAAGATCCAGAAACATTGGTAAGTTTGTTTTTTGTTTTTTTTTTTTTTTTTTTTTTAAAATAAATTAATCATTTTTTTATATAAATATATAATATGTAGATAAAAAAAAAAAAATGTACTTTATTAGAAAATACAAGTTTGGGGACTGAATTTTAGTAATCCCATCGGTATAGCAGCAGGATATGACAAGCAAGGGGAAGCTGTTGAATCGTTGCACGAAATAGGATTTGGATTTATTGAAATCGGTTCGGTTACTCCATTACCACAACCTGGAAATGAAAAGCCGAGAGTTTTTAGATTAAATAATGAAAATGCAATAATTAATAGGTAAAATTAATTTGAACACCATGTTCATTTTTTAAAATCTTTTATTATTTTTCAATTATCAAGGTGCTTTCCTTTATAAAATTTATTTTTTCAGGTATGGTTTCAACAGTGATGGTCACGATGCAGTTTATAAAAGATTAAAAACAATAAGAGAATCAAGCGGATTTAAAGGAATAATCGGTGTTAATTTAGGAAAAAATAAAAATTCAACAAATCCAATCGATGATTATGTTAAAGGAATAAAAAAATTCAGTGATGTCGCTGATTATTTTGTTATAAATGTGTCTAGGTAAAATTTTTATTTTTATTTTTTTGTTTCTTTTTTCGTTATTGATATATTAATATATGTACATTTAACAGTCCCAACACTCCTGGATTGAGGCAATGGCAGAAGAAACAACAACTTGAGGAACTGTTGAGTGCATTAATAGAAGCGAAAAATAATCTTAATGTTGATAAAAAACCACCACTTTTACTCAAACTCGCACCAGATTTGACAAATGTTGAAAGGAAAGAAATAGCTGATGTAATTTTAACAGAGAAGGTAAATACATGTATATTTTTTCTTTTATAACTTTATTAAAGGTTGTTTATGATGAAATCATTAAACCTTAAATGCATTTAAACAGTACAAAGTAGATGGTCTTGTAATTTCAAATACGACAATCGAAAGACCTGGAATCACAAGTCCAATCGGTGATGAAAAAGGGGGTTTAAGTGGTCAACCCTTGCATGATCTTTCGACAAAATTGATTTCTGATATGCACCATTATACAAGTGGTAAGAATTAATTTAAGTAAGACATCATTCGAAAAATAAACTTTTCATATCAAGACAACAATTTTTTCAGGTAAAATTCCCATAATTGGCGTTGGAGGAGTTTTCACAGGACAAGACGCTTATGAAAAAATTCAAGCTGGTGCTTCTTTGATTCAATTGTACACAGCATTTGCTTTTCACGGTCCTCCCAGGATAGTTAAAATCAAAAAGGAATTGGATGAATTGCTCAAGTACCTTCTTCTTCTTTTTTTTAATAACCATATGATGGTAATCATAAAAAGTTAACGATTAATTTTTTTTTTTTTTTTTTTACAGGAAAGATGGTTACGAGTATTTATCAGAAGCTGTAGGAAAGAGTAAAAGCGAATCTAAAGAAAATCCACTTTAGTGTTTAAAATAATAATAATAATAATAATAATAAGTGATAATTAAGTAAACTATTTATTTTTATATTTTTTTAAACGTGTAAATGAGTAGTTAAAAACTTGGGGTTAAAAAAAAAAAAAGAAATAATATTAACGGTAATAATAATAATAATAATAATAATAATTAAAAAAATGGAAGGATTTATTGGGCTTCACGTAGGTAATGACGATTGGAAAATTTTTTCTTCTATGTTGTCACATCGTGGATTGTTAATTTAAAAAAGGTTTTTTTTGTTTTTTGTTGACAAGGGGCTGGAAGTCACAGTCATAAACTTCAAATTCATTACAAAAAATTATGTAAGAAAGCAGCCAAAGAAGGAGTTTTATATTTAAATCAGGGAAAATCGGCGCTGGACGTTGCCGAAAGCGTAACCGCCATTTTGGAAAATTCACCTCTGACAAATGCCGGCTACGGATCGACGTTAACGTGGGACGGAGAAGTCGAATGCGATGCGAGCATAATGGATGGATCGACATTAAAATGGGGAGGTGTGGGAGCCGTTCCCGGTATAAAAAATCCGATTTCTTTGGCTCGAGCACTTTGCGAAGAACAAGGAAACGTTTTGACACTCGGACGTGTTCCTCCTTGGTTTGTTTTTTCTAAAATGTTGGTAATACTCAAGTTTATTATTATTATTATTATTTGTTGTTGTTGTTGTGATTTTTATAGTTTGCTCGTTGGAATCGGAGCTCAAAAATGGGCTGCAAAAGCTGGCATGGATGTGGTACCATCGAAAAACATGATATCAGGTTTATGAAATTTAAAATGGATGAAATTTTAATTATTTAAAATATGAAAATAAATATATATTAATTTTTTTTTTTTTTTTGTAGAAAAATCACAAAAGCTTTATAGAAAGTACAAAAAGAAAATAAAAACGATAGAAAAACTAACGGGAAAAATAATAAGTCCTTTGGATACGGTCGGAGTTGTTTGCCTGGATAAATCGGGTAAAGTCGCCGCGAGTTGTTCAAGCGGAGGAATCGCTCTAAAACATTCGGGAAGAATCGGACAAGCGGCCACATACGGATCCGGAGTCTGGGCTCAAAACGGTTTGGAATCATCCATATCCGTTTGTACTTCCGGTTGCGGTGAACATTTGATTCGAACGATGCTTTCGAAAGAAATATCGGATGCTGTTAATTCATCGAATTGTCCAACGTCTGCACTTTACGATTCTCTAAGCAAAAAATTTTTAAGTGAGTTTCCCCGAAGACCATAATAATTAATTTGAAAAAAAAAAGGGAAAACTTTGGATTTTCTTCTTCTTTTAGATTCGCCATTTTTAAACGGAATAAATGAAAAACTCGGGGGTGTGGCCGTGTTGAAAGTTAACGATAACGGAATGGGAGAATTTTTATGGGGACACACGACGAGCACCATGTGTTTGGGTTTCATGTCCACATCGGATTCGTCACCCAAAAGTAGATTGTCCTCACTTTCGCCGGGGCAAAGTCCCGGATTTAATATCGTAATAGAAGGGATATCGTTTAAAACGAAAAATTTTAATGTCGACGTGGAATAATTTTTTTTTTTGTTAACAATCGAAACGGTCGTACGTTTAGTAGTAGTAGTCGTCGTCGTTTTTTTTTTTTTTGCGCGCCATTTCTTTAAAAACTTTTTTTTTAATTTTGCCAACAAAACAAAAAGAAATATATATCAAATATTTTTTATTTATTTATTTATTAAAAAATAATTAATAATTTATAATAATAATAATAATAATAATGATAAAAAAGAACAACATCACTAAAAAACAATAAGAAAAAAATTAAAAAAAAATTTTGTCAAAAAAAAAAAAACAAAACGACAAAAAAAAAAAAATATACACATCGAAATAATAATAATAATGATAATGATAATAATGATTGATTTAAACGGATTTTGTATAAAAAATAAAAAAAAAAAACAAAAACAATCCGGTGGGTTATGATATGATGTGGGAAAAAAAAAAAAAAAGTAATTTTTATAATTTTCGGTGAGTATCTATTAATTTGTTTCGGTCATTAACAAACAAACAAACAAACAAAAACTAATAATAATAATAATAATAATAATAACCCTTACGTGACTAATTTAATCAATCAATCAATCAATCAATTAATCAATCAACTAATTAATTAATTTAAAAAAAAAAAAGTTTTAATATAAAACAACTTAATAAGTAAACAATAATCTTTGGTTTACTGGCGTTAATAATAATAATAATTAAAAATAATTAATTAATAATTAATAATAATAATAATAATAATAATAATAATAATATTTATACACGTAGAATGAAAAAAACTTTTTTTTTTTTTTTTTGCTAATTTAAAAACAAATGAAATGATGCGACGGATTGAGAGAGAGAGAAAAAAATAATAATAATAATAATGTTAAATAATGAACATAATGATGATGATGATGATGATTATAAATATAAACAGACGATTGTTTCGTAATAATAATAATAATAATAATAATAATAATAATAATAATAATAATAATTTTTCAAATTAATGTGAATTTAATAACGATTGCAATGAGAAATAAAATTGAGCTTTTCACTTGGGGCAACTCCCCAATACAAAATGGACGGATTTGAATATTTCAAGAGTGATAATAATAATAATAAGAAGAAGGAGAAGGAGGAAGAGAGAGGGAGAGAAAAACGTAATCGACTCATTCATCACAGCAGATAATTAGATTATAGGAACAATCCATAAACAATAAATAGGGAGAAAAAAAAAAAATTAATTAAATGCAACCAACTAATGATTATAATAAATGCAAAATTAAACTGTGAGATCTCCTGAATGTGGATCGGTGGCAAAACAAAAGATTAGAAAAAGAAAAACGGGAGCAACGAGGATGTGATAAAGATAAAAAATTAAAAAAAATTTCTTAAAGTTTAAATGTTAAGTTGAGTGCCTCTATTCTATCCTATCTACGTTTTGTTAAACATTTAAACTTATTTAATAAAAATTTACGATAAGTACACACAATATTAATTTTTTTCTTTTTTTCTTTTTAGGCACTAAATAATAATAATAATAATGAAATTCTCCGAGGGTTTTCAAGAAATATCTTCCCCTTACTTCCCCCTCCCCACTCAATCGAGAAATTCACCAGCCTTTAGACACGTGAGAGAGAGAGAGAGAGAGAAAAAGGTTATGTGATCATGGCAAACATCAAATAATGATAATAATAATAATAAAAAAATCCATTTTTTTGGGTTCTTCTTCAACAATTGCTTTCCGCTTCCGGTAACCGTTTCCGGGGATCCGTTTCCGCATCGATCGTTCGCACGCCAACACTCAAACGCAACCGTATTCGAACCAAATTGAATTTTCTTTTCTACTTTTCCTTTTGGAATCGTCCGAGGAGGTGGGAGGAGGAGGAGGTGGAGGACTCAACTTGTGCGACATCGTTCCCGATTGTGACCGATGGGAACGTATGCTGTTGTTCGGACTCGGTGGTTTGTTGTGAACGCCCACGTCTCCACCGAGAACCGTGTTGACTCGATTGTAGACGAGAAACGTCGGAGGATTGGCAGAAGGTTCGTCCTTTTTCGTCGTCGTCGTCGGGGATTCTGGCACGTCAGTCTTTGATGATGATGATGATTCGTTATTGTTATAGTAGACGGTTTGCCTCGTTCCAGCTCCCTGTTGATTTAATATGTTTGGAAAACCTATGGTTTGAGATGATACTCCCTCATCTGGAATTCACGTCGGACAATAATTAATTTTCACAGGTACGATTATCATTATTATTATTTTTTTTTATTTGTTGTTTATTAAAAGTCTAAAAAAATGTCAAACCTTTTCCGTCAGTCAGTCAGTCAATCAGTCAAATTTTTTCGTTTTAAATTCGGTAAATTCGGTTGTTAGCCTCACGTAGTAAACCATTTGTGATAGTTTTTGACTTTTTCTCGTTCTTTCGTATCGGTCAAACATCCAGTCACCTGATAAAAACATGTTCGTATCGTACAGAATGTAAACAAAAGTTTTCTTTTTTTTTTTTCTTTTACAGGTTAAAACGAACCTTGTCTTGTTGGATCATCGACGCTACCATCCGACTCGTTTCCTCCAGATTCTGATTCTTGTAGTAGTAAAGTCGACGACGGAGGCCTCGAATCTTCGTGCCACGATTTTCGGCTCATGTTAATCAAATCCGTTCCTGCTTTTCTAACTCTTCTCACCAGACTGGCACCGAATCCTTTTCTACATCAATATTTAAAACGTAAGTACAAAAAAAAAAAAAAAAAAATTTTTTTTTATCTTACCCAAACAAACAAACATCTCACGCAAGGGTCTTTTGCAAGACCTTTACTTACTTTTTATTCGTGCAACTTTCCAATTTCTTATAATGATCCATTATTTTCTCTTCGAGTTTTTCCTTTTGACGACTCAAATGATTCAATTTATCGGAAAATATTTTCTCTTCCGCGTGATAATGTTGCTTGTCTTCGAGCGAATGCGTCAACAATTCGTGATACTGTGATAAAAGCATGGACGCGTGTTTCATGAGCGACCTTCGATCCTCTTCGAGATTCGAATTCATTTGCAACAGCATTTCGTTTTGATTCGCGACCTTCGACAATTGTACCTGAAGGTGAGTCGCGTGATCCGATAGAGTCGCCGTTTCTCCCTGCAATTCCGTGTGCCTCAACCTCAAATTGCTCGCTTCCCCTCTCAAATTCTTATACTCCTCCTGTATGGCTCTGTATTCCGTTTTGACTTTTTCATTTGCCGTAAATAAATTACGAAAATCATCCTGGGAAAAAAAAAAAAAAAAAAAAAATTTTTTTTTCTTCTTACACGTTTCTTAGTCGCACGAAAATTTCCCCCAAAAAAAAAAAAAAAAAAATTTTTTTTTTTTTAAACCAAACCTTGAGTTTGGAATGCTCCGCTCTTAAATTGGTGAGCGAAATTGAATCCGCGACCAAAGCATCTTTTTCTTGTTTCGTGCTACTGTTGATGGCCTCTTGTTTCGCGACGACATCTTTCAAAGACTTGTTTTCTTTCAATAAATCTTTTTGAACTTGACGCAAATTTTCTTTTTCTTTTAACAAGTTTTCGTGTTCGGAAGAAAGTTGTTCGTGCAACGATTGCAAAGCTATCTGATCTTTAAGCAATTGATTATACGAATCTTGCTGATTCGCTCCTTTTTTTGCCAACTGTAAAAAAAAAAAACAAATGTTAATTTAACTTTTTATCTTTTATAATAATAATAATAATAATAATAATACTAATAATGGTAATAATTAATTACTTCTTCTTTTTCGGCCACGAGTTGAGAATTGGCCAATTGAAGAGCCGTGTGTTGTGCCGTGAGCGAAGTTATTTGCGATTGCAGTGTTGCCATAACGACTTCCAAATGAGCATTATCAGATTGCATGGCATCCGCTGCCGATTGCAAAGCGGCCAATTCATTTTTCAATTCATCTTTTTGACCTTTCCCCTCATCGAAATCTTCATCGAAATTCATTTCCGTTTTATTACCATCCTTGCATTTGGGACACGATAATCGTATTTCTTTCGTCAGTAAATCTTTCAATTCGGGTATCGTTAATAAGTTGGCAACCGTGGATTCCGTGTCGAAAAGCAATTCCGGTTTCAAACCCAATTTTTCAAGTCCGTTTTTCAAATGTTGATTATTAACCTGAAAACAAACGACAAACGTTATTTTTTTTTTTACTCGCGACATGAATCGTGTGTTGTTTCCTTTTTTAAATATTTAACCTTTTCCGACACAAGTTCGGCTTTTAAAACGTTTAAAGTTTCTTCCGTGATTGCAGCTTTCGATACGAGTTCGTCTCTTTCTCTTTCCACTTCGTGAAGCCTTGTCGTCTGCCATTTTGCATTTTCTAATTCTTTAATAAATTGTTCTCGTTCTTTAACGTGAGCTTCTGCCTTGTTCACAAAATCATCCAATTTGACATCTTTTTCCTAAAAAAACGGAAAATTCAAAACGTTACCTTTATCTATGGAAAAATGATTTTTTTCCTCTTCGATTTTTACTTACCTCTATGGTTTCTTTAAATCTATTAACGTCTCTCTGTGATATTTGCAACTCCTTTTCCAAATTCAATAAATCGTTTTTCATCGATGCCAATTCTTCTTGCAGGCACGGAACTAAAACGGATTGAGTTTTCCACAGTTCGATTTCCGTACTCGAACCTTCTAAATCCGTTATTTTATTCGTCAAAACCTCAACTTTCTTAACGTACTCGTCGATTTCATTTTTTAACGAAACGATTTGCTTTCGTCCATCTTGTAATTCTTGCTGTTGACGGTCTATCGTTTGCCTAAGACCTTCTTTAGCTTCTTGAAGTTTTCTATTTTCCTGGAGTGAATCTTTAACGATCAATTCCAATTCTTTATTTTCCGACGTTAACCTTTTGCACGTATCTTCCAATTGTTCGATCTAAAAATATGCTCACGTTTTTAAAACCCTCAAATACAAACGACATGTTTTCATCCAATAATAATAATAATAATAATAATACTCACGTTTATGCTTAATTTTTTATTCTCTTTATCGAGTTCTAATATTTTATTGCTACTCTCGTGAAACGACGTTTCTTTTAAATTTTCTATCGTCGACAACAATTTTCTATTTTCCAATTCTAGTCGGAGTGCACGTGCTGTTGCATTGCTCGTTAACTGTTCAGACCAACTGGCATCTCCCGAACTGACAGGTTCTTCTAAATCGCTATCAGATTTCACTACCGATTCATCGTGAAGTACCGATCGTGCTAAAATTTGCAATTCTGCATTTTCCGCATATAATTTTTCCAACTTTTTATCCTTGGCGTCTCTTTCCTATACGGGAAAAAAAAAAAAAAAATTTTCCTTTGTCAACAACTTGAATTCCACGTGAAAATTTTAAAAAAATTATTATTACTTACAAGAGTCAATTCGTTTATTTGTTGATTTAATTTTAATATTTCACCTTCCAAATCAAAAACGTGATCACTCCTTCTTCTGGCTCTTTGTAATTGATCTTCTAACATTTCTCTGGTCTCGAGTAGAACTCTGAAATGGAAAATTTAAAAATCATTCTTTCCACTTCTCCTAAGAAACAAGCGGAATATTCGATTAAAATAGGTTGTTACCTGTTGTCTTCTCTTAGTTCTTGAACTCTTGTCTTATAAAAATCAATATCGCTAAGTTTATCTTTAAATCGTTGGACTTCATTTTCTAATTTTTCTGCTTTTTCAGCTTTTTCTCTCATGGCATCAAGTTCATCTCTGTATGCTTTCGCAGATCTGGCTTCCTGTACAACATCGGCAACTTCTTGCCTCAGTTTTGTCACCATGGCTCTGTGATGTTCCAATTCTTCTTTGCATTCCGTTAACGCTTCTGTTTTTTCCTCGCTAAAATGGCGACAGAAACAAATAATAAAACCACCAGGTTTTTTTGTTTTAAATTTAAAAAAACAATGGAAAACAATCTTACAGTTCTTGTCTTTGTTTTCTAAGTTTCGATTTCCAATCGGCCAATTCTACTGCCAAATGATGCGATTCTGAGCTTACATTAGATATTTGTTTATTTTTTTTTTCAGAATTAGACAACCTTGTTTCACATGTGGCAGATGTTATCCAGTTTTGTAAATATCTATCTCTTTCTTTGACTAAATGCCTAACATGATCCATTAAAATATCATGGCTAATACTGTCTTGATTATCATTACCGATAACCATTAAAGGAGTATCAGTAACCTAATAAACAGATAAAATTTTTATTTTTTGTAAATTATAATGTCTGTAAGTTGAGTAGTACTCGACAAAACCCACAAAATACTATAAAATTTAAATAAAGATATTATTACCTTTTTGATACAGTCGACTATAGAATGTTGAACATCAACATCTAATAATTTAATTTTATCGATAAATATTTTTTTATTGGGGCATTGCACAGCACAAGAAAGTAAAAGTAAAAGTAATAAAGCCATGTCTTGCCTTCCAGCAGGAGTATTTGGTTCTGTTCCTAATCTTACAACATCGGGAATCATAATGACTGTTTGACCGAATTCTTCTTGATACAAATACTGTATATTTTTTAATATTATATCTAAATTTCTTATAATTGCTTGAGAATTACCAAGGCTAGGCACGACACCAGTAAAGGTAGGCTCGGGATCTCTAAAAAATATAAAAATAATTTTAAGATTTGAATAGAACAGGCGTTTTTTATGTGCCAAAAAAAAAAAAAAAGTCACTTACATTTGCAAAAGCACTTGATAGATAAGAACTCCATCTAATAAATCTTCATAATCAACTAAACCACTAGGATTTTCAAGGCACGATCTCAACTAAAATTTACAAATAAAAATGTTTAAATTTTAATTAAATATTATAAATAAAAAGTGAATTTTAGGCAGTGTACATACTAACCCATATAACAAGTGGCCCATCCATAAATTCGTCCTTTTCTTCGATGTTGGTGGCCATTTTTATATATATCATTACCTGTTAGCATATATTTAATAAATAAATTAATTTAATTACGTTTAAAATCATTCTTATGATGTATTCATACGGGCCTTCTGGCTCGAATTTGAAAGAAATAAAACTTGTTGACATTCACACACACGCACACACAATGTGAAAGTTTTTATTTTCTTAAGTTGTTAGAACTGGTTTGACAACTGGTGGATACCATGGGGAGGGAATTTTTTTAAAATAAAAAAAAAAGAACAAACATAAAAATTTATTTTAAAACAATTATTTAAAGTAGGTATAATTTAATTCATTTAAATTACATTTATTAGTCATTTTCTCATGAAAATTTTTTTAAAATAAATCAATGACTAACAAACTTGATTTAAATTAATAATAATTTTTTTTTTTTTTTTAATCATAAAATAAATTACTTATTAATCTCCTGTAAATTAATGGCCGAATAAAAATTTTTTTAATTTAAAATTCAATATTTAAGATTTTAATATCAATTATTTAATTATAATAAAAAAACATTTGACAGTTTATATAAAATTTTTTTACTTATTTTGCTTATTTAATCCCATTTGAAATATGGATGATTATGTTTCTCTTTCTATATAAAAAAGAAATTCTTGTAGCATAAATGAATTGGAAGAGAAAGTTTTAAGTAAAAGTGTCTTTTTTTTTTTTTTTTGTTTTTACAACTCAAATAAAAAAATGTTGTTGTGTTGTAAATAAATTGGCTATTAATTTGCGGAAAAATTAAATAAATAATAAAATTTTGATTTATTTGATAACTATAAAAATTAATGAAAGTAAAATTATTGTACATTTTTCTTACGGCTAACGTTCATCTACTTATCTATATCTAGTTTTTAATTAACCTAAAATATTTTTTTATAAAACGAGTTTATTTAACTATATACGCTAATTTTTTTTTTTATATAATTATATAATTAATTTACATTTTTATATTAATAAATTATATTAAATTACCGTAAGGGAGCAAAAGCAGATAATTATAACACCGAATAATTAAGTGTTTATTATTATTATTTAACATGGCGATAATTAATAAATATTCATTAATTATTACGTCAAATTTATTCAATTATTATTATTATATGATTTTATAATAATAATAATAATAATTTGTCATCTTAGATTAAATTCAAATGAAATTTGTTAAAACCACGCAAGTCATTAACTTTTTTTTTTTTCTCCCAAGATAAAAAAAAAATTTCGTCTGCTAGTTAACGGCTAAAATATGAAACAGTCATTTTCAAAAAGATAGCAAAATGAACTTGATATATAATTGGCCTTGAAAGGTTTTTTTTTTTAATTTTATCATTAATAAAAAAAAAAAAAAAAAAAATGTCTACTAGAAATTGGAAAAGGATTTTAAAATATACTGGAGGTGTTTTTACCGTTAGTTTAGGTTTTACATTATTTTCTAACGAATTTGATTTTAATTCTATTGGAATTGTTAGGTTAGGACGTGTTGCTTTCGCGGTAAGTTTGATATTAATTATAATTATTTATTTAATAATTTTTTCTAAAATATATTTTTCTAATTACTTTCTTTCATTTGGCTGTCAATGTTAAAATGTTGCTGTAATTGTTATTATGTTAAAATTGATTTAATTTAATTTTTTAAGGCTGGTAGAATAGCAAATCATTATAAAAAAACTCTTTATTCATCTACACTTGATCCAGATTCTCAAGAATATAAAATTCTTAAATCGAAAGCTCATCATGAAGCTGCTGAAATTTTACTCGATCTATGTTGTGCGAATAAAGGTGTCTATATAAAAGTCGGACAACATCTTGCCACATTAGATTATCTGGTACCACCTGAATATATTAAAGTGATGAAAGTACTTCATTCGAATGCTCCAAAATCTTCATTGAGTAGTGTGTATAAAGTCCTTCGACAAGATTTAAAAGCAGAGGTTAGCCTAACGAAAAACAATTCGACATTCAACGAATGACAATAATGTAACAATTTCAATTATTTTTTCAGCCTTCAGAAATTTTTGAATATTTCGAAGAAGTACCATTGGGAACTGCTTCGCTTGCACAGGTACACAGAGCCAGGTTAAAAAAAGATGGATCGTTAGTCGCTGTTAAAGTACAACATTCATTAGTAATGGATAATTCGAAAGCAGATATGAGAGCGATGGAAGTATGTAACTGCATTTAAATATAAATATATATATAAAAATTAACAATGTCTTAATTTACAAAAAAAAAAAAAATTAGGTAATTGTTAAAATAATGTCATCATTATTTGAAGATTTTCGTTTTCAATGGCTCATTGATGAAACAAAATTAAATTTACCAAAAGAACTTGATTTTCTTAACGAAGCAAAAAATGCTGAAAAAATTCAAAATATACTTAAGGATTTCAAGTGGCTTAAGGTAAGATTAAGACATTTTTTATAAGTAGATAATTACAAAACAAACAATAACAATAACAATAACCTTAATTTTTTTTTAATTTACCTGAAATTTTAGGAATAGATAGAAGGTGAAAAATATTTTTTAAAAAAAATTTAATAAAAGGCTACTGCCACGCCTGACTGACTCAACACACACACATCAACATTTATTCCCAAAACGAATCTAATAATTATTTACATGGCATTTAAACGCGTAAATTTTCTTTTTTTTTTCCCCCTCAACTTTATCAACATTCGACAGAAAAATCCATAATGATAATAATAATAATTATTTCATGGATTATTTTAGATACCGAAGGTTAACGAAGAATATTCGACGAGTCGAGTATTAATAATGGAATTTGCTGAAGGAGTTCAAGTCACGGATTTAAACTACATAAATGATAAAAAAGTCGATAGGATAACGTTGTCGACGAAATTGGGAGAACTTTATTCCCACATGATATTCAAACATGGTTTCGTACACAGCGATCCACATCCTGGAAATATATTGATCAGGAAGAAAGAAAATGATAATTTGGAAATTGTTCTTCTAGATCACGGACTATACGCCGTCAGTATTTTAATCATTATTATTATTATTATTTCGGTCGACTCTCATCTCATTTTCCCCCCTCCCCTCCCCCCCCTTTTTTTTTTTTAGTCTTTAAGCGAAGAATTCAGATGGAATTATTCGAAATTTTGGATGAGTATTTTAAAAAGAGACGTCGAAGGTATGAAAGTAAACAGTGAAAAATTAGGGATAGGTACTTTGTATCCCATATTAGTTTGTATGGTCACGGGAAGAACCTGGAATTCCGTTACTGGAGGAATCGATAAGATTCGTTATACCGAAGCCGAAGTATTTAAAACAAAGTTTATTATATATATATATATTTATTTATTTTTCTATCTCTATCTCTCTCTCTCTCTCTCTTTCTCTCTCTTTCCAGAAAGAAGAATTTGTTAGCACCGTACCTAATTTATTGACACAAATCGGTGAAGTTTTACAATCAGTTAACAGGGAAATACTTTTAATATTGAAAACAAACGATCTTTTACGTGGTATCGAACATTCATTGAACGTACACAAAAGGTTTGAAGTTTTTAAATGAAATGAGGAACGAAAAGGAAAAGGAAAAGGAAAGAAAGGATTTTATAAAAAGGTTTTATTTTTTACTGTTTTGCAGACAACCATCTTTTCTAGTCATGAGTAAATGTTGTTTGGAAAATATATACGATGAAAAAATGAGACATTCCAAAAGTATCATTGAAAGATTTTACATACGTTTTTGGAAACAATGGATTATTCTCAGATTAAACGTTTATTATTTTTACACGAGTTTAAAATCGAAAATGGTAGCTTGAGTATTTATTTATTTATTTATTTAAATGGGAAAATCGTGGAAGAAAAAAAAAGAAAATTAAAGTACAATATTAATTATTTATTGTATCGTTAATCGTCGTTACCAGAAATATATATTTATAAATGTATATAAAAAGATACGTGTAAGAGAGAGAGAGAGAGAGAGAGAATATAAAAATTATTTATTAAATTATTTATTTATTAAAAAAATAAAAATATATATTGTAATTTTGTTATTGAAAAAGAAAAAAAAAAGGTGATGAAATTATCAAATAATTAATTTAAATACGATATGTTAGAAAAAACGGGGGGGGGGGGGAAATGACTGATAAAAGGTCAATCAAGTTGAATCGTTATCAATAACGACTCAATAATCAATTTATAAATAGTTAATTTATCAAAATAAGAAGAGAAAAATTTGTTTTTTTTTTTTTTGGCGGTAAATTTAATTTCGTGTAATAGACGAAAAATCAAAAAAACATCCCCCTCCCTCCCCTTCCCTCCCTACCAAAAAAGGGAGGTGAGGGAAAGGAAAAAGGAAAAAGGGAAAAAATTATTTCGTTAATATTTCATTGTTAAAAATGATTGTTGAAAAATTTTTTATTTATTTATAAAAAAAGAAATCATTATTATTATTATTATTATTATTATTTTATATATAAAATTCGTGACATTTTTTTTTTTTTAATTTTCAATATTATTATTATTATTATTATTATTATTATTATTATTATTATTATTATTTCGATATATTAAATAATTAATAATTTGACTTTCCGTGTGTGTGTGTTACGGATTAAAAATAATAATAATAATAATAATAATAATAATTTTTGTATGGATTTTTCGTTGGAAAACAAAAAAAAAAAAAATTTTTTTTACACGATGCAGAAAAAAAGAGAAGAAATAATAATAATAATAATAATAATGAGATTTGAAAATTAAGAATAATAATAATAATGATAATAAATCATATCGTGTCAAAATAAAACAGAAAATAAGTGTTAACCTCCCTCTTCCCCTCCACCCCTCCCACATTAAAAACAAAAGAAAACTGGGGAGGGAGGGGAAATAAAGAGGGTGGGAAACCTTTTAAAATATCGTGACGAAAAAAAAATAGTAATAAATTATTTTATTATTTATTTATATTAAACAGTTAAATAAAAATTATTATTATTATTATTTTATTGATTACGTGAATAATGAGGCCACGTGAATTTTATATTTAAATAAATATAAATTTATGGGTAGCCATTTTTTTTTTTTTTTTTATTACCGTTATAACAGATAAGTCAAGTTTGGAGGTTACCTAATTTTTACGAAAAATATGTCTTCGTCGTTGTCGTGGTATCAGAAAATGAATGAATTATAAATAAAAACAAATAAATCACGTTTTAATTATTATTATGTTTTTCAATAAAGAAAAAATTTTTCGCCCCCATTTTATTTTTCCAACCCGTCACGTCTTATTACACGAAAAAAAAAAAAAAAGAAAATATAGGGCGGAGTTGTTTTTAAATAAAAAAAAACCGTAGGGATTATTATTATTATTATTACATAGTGGACGTTTTATCGATTTATTTAAATAATTAATTAAATTGTAAATGTAAGTAAATAAATATTAAATTCGTGGGGGGTTGGGGTTGGGGGACAACGACGACGACGTACCTTTCGTACAATTCGTTACGATATAATTCGTTATAAATCAATTAAAATAATTAAAAATCGATTTAAAAATGAAATTCAAAAAGAAAAGAAAAAGCAAGCAAAATTTATAAATTTTATTTATAATATTAATTCACCTTTTTTATATTTTTTATTTTGATTACATTTAATTTAATTTAATTTAAATATGATTTTTCGTTACGTGCGCGCCATTTTGATTTTTTTGTTTGTTTTTTTATTTTACCGCTGTGCGCATGCGTCAAAACGTGACGCAATATGTCGCAGTGCAACTGCAATTGAACGTTATTATTTTCTAGAAAGTTCTAATTTTTGTTGTTTCGACGACATCAGCTTATTTTTTTTTTTTTTTTTTAAATTTTGTGAGGGAAATTATTTTGTTGAGAAAGTTTTTATTTACGCAGAATTCACGCAAGCGTATTTTTATTTTATTTTATTTTTTTTTCGTGGTAACAATAATGTAATTTTGGTTAAAAATTGGATTTGTATCTCCCAACCCCCCTTTTTTGTATAAAATTGATTTTTTTTTACATGTTTATCCTAAATTATTTTTTTTAACAACGATTAATAATTAATTTTTTAAAAATAAAACATATTATTCTCGATTTAATAACGATTACTATTATTATCATAATAAATTAAACGTTTTTTGTTTGTCGTCGTTGTATATGTATGAAAAACAATATGTCGCTCATTAACAAACAGGTGCGTTCAAAATCATTATTTTTTTTTCTTTTTTTTTTTTTAAATTAATTCCAACGTATTTTACTCCATCTTTTTGATTTATTTAATAAATATCAATGTCGTCATAATTTTCAACTAAAAGAACCTTCTCTCTCTCTTTCTCGAAAGGAAAATGTTTATTCAAATAAATAAAAAAAATTTAACAACAACAACAAACATTTTTATTTCTCTTATATTCGTTTTTACATTAAAAGTAACAAAAATATATAATCAATCAATCACGTGATTTATTATATATATATTCATAATAAATCATTTTTTTAGACGTTTGTATTTCGTGAGAATAAAAAAACAATAATAATAATAACAATAACAATAAGAACGATGGAAACAAACAAAAACAAAAAAAATGTTTTTCCTTTTTTTATAAAATAAAACAATATTGATTTTATTTAAGTAATTGTTAAATATATTATTATTACATTAAATAATAATAATAATGATAATAAATCGTTTCATAGTTAACGATTATTATTGAAAATTTACAACAACAAAAAAAAGAAAAAAAAACTTAATAGGATATATAAATTTAAGGTTATGTAATTTATTTTTTAAAATCGATACGATATATTTCGATATATCGGTATATTCGATATATCGATATTTGTTTGTTTTAAATTAAAAAAAATGGGTTTAAAGATATTTTACATTAAAAAAAAAAATCAATAATAAATATCAAATTGTTTTTTTTTTCTATTTTAAATAAAATTATTAAATAATAATAATAATAAATAAATGAATGGAGGTATAATAATAATAATAATGGAAATAACATGACCTAAAATAATTAAAATCCATTTTATATAAAACATAAAATTGAGCTACAGGTGGGTAAGAAAACAAATTTTCCTTAAATTTTCCTTTTTTTTTTTTTTAAGTTTCTTAACTTGAATAAAATCAACAGGATTATTTATATATTTTATAAAAATTATTTAATTGAGAAAAAATTTTGTTAGTTATAAAACAAAAAAAAATTGTATTTTATTATTGATTTCCTTTTTATAAAAAGCAACAATAATATGTTAGATAAAAGGAATGAAAGTTTTATTGAGACAATAACAACAACAACAAAAAAAAAAAAGATTTTATTTGTTGTTGTAATTTAAGAAAAAGGTTTTTTTTTGTTGAATTGATAAAAAAAAGGGTAAAATTCGAAATGGAAAAGCTAAGAAGAATTCATGCATCATTGTCATTCATTGTCAATAGAAAAAATTTTTTTTTAGAAAAAAAAGGGATGCTGCGTGATAAAAACGTTTTTTTTTCTTCCTTTCCTACTTTTCACATCTTATTTCCTTACTCATTTACAACGCAAGCGTAAACTGTAATTTCCCCCTCCCCACCCCCCTAATGGAATTGTTGCTGTTGTTGTTGTTGTATTAAAATTTAATGCTTTTTTTTTCCCATAAAAATTTCTTCGAAATCTATATAACCGCTTTTGGCTACTCCTCCTCCTCCTTCTCCTCTTCTTTTGTCTTATACCATCATCCCATTCTTCTTTTAATCATTTACATACTTTTTAACAAAGTTAATGACACCTAAACTTCATCATCATTATATTTTTTTAATATTAACTAAATAAGATTATTATTAATCAATAACCTTTAACAAAACATATAATCACTTAACAATAACAAAAAACATTTTGCAAGTTTCTATTTATTACCTTTTATACACATTCATGTCACAAAAATGAATCGTCCGCCATTACGAAGAATGTAATCCTGTCGTCCATCAAAATAATAATAAATAAATAAATAAATTTTTGCGTACTTAATTTCCTACGGCGTCTCATAATAATGATATTAATTTAAATATGTATTTGTGTTTTATAATACGTAATTACTTGAAAAATTAATTTACTCTGAAAAAAAAAAAGAAAAAGTTAATAATGATGATGATGATGATAAAATTATTTAACCAGAATTTAAATTGATTATTTTCAACACAATCGAATTATAAATTAATTTTTGTTAAGGACAAAACGACAGTTGAATATTTTATTAAAATTAAAAAAGAAAAAAAAATTTAAGATAACGAGAAAGAAAGAAAAAAAGAAAAAAATAGTATTTTATTACAATAACTTTGATATAATCATACCGACGACATTTTTTTTTTGATTACGTCATCAAATTTTTAGCATAAACTGATTTTTAATTGTTTGAGATAAAAAATAAAATAAAATCTTTTGTATAAATTTTTTGTTTTTTTTTTTTACCTACGTCAGACATTTTTTGTTTTTTTTTTTGAGAGAGAGGAAAAGAGTTTCGTATGAAAAAAAAATATTCTTGGTTCGTTCGCCATATTTATTTTAGCCCATTTATCTCTTGTCGATCGATTTAGTTTGTCATGTAAATGACGGCGTCATCAAGTCCACCGGAATCCATTAAATAGATGATTATCGTATTTAATTTTATTCTAACAGCAGGAATAATAATAATAAAATTCAATTACCATTAATTTAATAAATAATTATTATATTGAAAATTCTGTTTATAATTACCCCGAAAAAAAAAAAATCCGTTAACGTTCGAACACAAACGAATTCAAATAAATGAATGTTATAATTACGAATATA